CTTCTGTGGGAGGGTGTTAAGGACTATGCATGAGGCCTGATGGACAAGCAAAGGAGACATCTGTACCAGTCTCCTGGCCATGGAACTTCACTGAGCTTCATCACCCAACTGCTGACCTAAGAGTGAAGCACAGCCAAACAGCCTTCTCTACCTACCTACCACACCCCTCCCAGATACTGGGTACCTGTGCAGTGCTAGGCCCCTCCCCAGTTCTGCCCTCCAGAAATGTGGGCCTACACCTTCATAGAGCATGGCAGCCACCCAGAAAGCACTTGGTCACATATGTCATATCCTTCACCCACCGCCAGCACAGGTAGTGAGCTCCTGGCTTAGCCTTAGCCTGATCTGACCCAGGTCAACAGGTGAGGCCAAAAGTAACCTGAAGGTTGAAAGAGGGAATCCTGGGCCCCAGAAAGCCCTCGCCTGAACAGCCACAACTGGACTTCTGAAATGTCCAGGGCTGCACCTCATTTTGCCTGGTCCTTGATCAAAGTCATTGTGGGGATGAAGGAAGGGAACAGTTCCTGCCAGCAGAGAGCTTTAGTGTGTGTGTGTGTGTGTGTGTGTGTGTGTGTGTGTGTGTGTGTGTGTGTGTGAGAGAGAGAGGGGGGGAGAGGGGGAGAGGAAGGGGGAGGGACGGAGAGAGAAGAGGAAAATACAGTTACCTTAGGGAAAGCAATGTTGGTTGGTACAGGACCCTGTCCAGTGAACATCTCCACCAGCTTTTCTGCCTGACCCCCACCCCCAACACTGCCCCATTTATGAGCGGAAGACTAGGATGGGTGGGTTGGAATCTGTTGTGATTGCTAAAGGACAAGGCATACCTCACACTTGTCAAGGGTCAGACAGAGCCACATTTAATTTGTTGTAGAAAAGAGACCTCTGTAGGAGGGAGCTCTCTACATACGGAGGGTCTCTCCAGTGATCACTTAGCCCGCATTGTTGGGGAAGGAGGAGATAGAACACCTAAAGCAGAGGTAAGGTTCTGGAAGGGCTAAGGGGAGGAGGTAGGCCATGCGTAGGCGGGTGATGGAGGTGGGGGTGGGGTGGGGAGCGGCGTGGGGAGGGGAGGGGACAAGTGGCAAGGAGACCGGACTAGGAAGAACACCCACCATCACCACCACCTACCCATCCCGCTCCAGGACCCTACCCCCGGGAGGTTGAGGAGGTCCCACAAGGTTCTCTAGACAGCTTCTTTCTAGCTTTGATTGGGCAGGATCTTTATGGGATCATCTTGGAACCAATCGTGGCGCCCCTCAGTGGAGCACGATGATTGGACCAGGCCTCTTCACCGATTCCAGCACGGCAAGCTAAGTCCCACTCTCTGCACCTTGCACCCTTCCTCCTGTGGCCGGGTTGAACTGGCCTGGGTCATTGGTACCCCTCCTCCGCACCTGAAGGAGTCCTGCCAGGTTGATCCGCCCTGGCCCTCTTTCAGAACTGAAGTCATCAGAAGACCTGAGAGCAGCCAGCGTGCAAAACGTGTGGACAGGTGGCACAGACCCAGGGGTCCTTAGACCTGCTGGTTTCGTGGTGGCCAGCAGGATTTGTCTAGCTGCGGATTAGCAAGGGTAGACAAAATGGTCCTTAATTGCACTTTTTTTTTTTTTTTTTTTTTAATGCCTTGTTGGTTAGGTAGCTTGTGATTGAAAACAGCTCTGCCTCACGGAGTGAAGCACAGGTCAGAGCAGATACCTGTCTGACAGCCGGGACTAGCTGTCTGCAGATACCAAGGAGAAGCTATAATCACAGACTGGAGGTAAAATCAGCCAAAAGTGTTCATAACGTGTCAATACCCAGAAGGTCGGTTACCTCCGGTGTCTGGGGCTAGGTTGGCAAGTGGGGGTTTTGTAGGAACATTATGCCCTGCCGCTTCGGGACAGCTTTTCCCTGGCCCTGGTGTCTGTCCGTCAGCTTATAATACTCACACTCCATGCACACACAGCACATGTGGAGAGTGCCCACATGGCTCCTGGCTCCCATCCTCTTGATGATGAGGGTGATGATGCTTATGGTTTTTAGAGACAGGGTTTTTCTGTGTAGCTTTGTAGATCAGGCTGGCCTCGAACTCTAGGAGATTTGCCTGCCTCTGCCTCCTGAGTGCTGGTATTAAAGGCGTGTGCCACCACTGCCCGGCTTTTGATTTCTTATGTGTCACTCCTTCTGACAGCCACCACACCACTCATGAATAGCACTTCTGGATTCCCATCACTTCATATCCATTTTCCTCTAAGCAGAGATCACCAGTTACAGTGTCTATTTCTCACTTCTCCCATCACATACGTACATGCACACACACAACTATAAGAAAAGGGACCGCAATTATTCCAGGCTCTGGAAGATACTGTAACATAATCAACCAGAATCTAACCCATCAATCCTTAGGTGGCCAAATGATCAAGTTCTCCATCAGCTAAAACATTCAGGTCATTGTTAGGTCCAAGAGGAATCCAGATAGCTGTGAGGTGGGACACCAGATGACAGGCAAGTAAAGCAATGAATGGGTGCTCTTATAAGAACATCCATTCTGGGTGCCAGCATTCAGCCAAGCTCCAGAGAGTCCAGACCCAGAGATTAGGGTCTTAGGTACACCTCAGGAAAAAGAAGTCACTGCTGCCTCAGCAGGTAGGATGTTATCTGGATAATTCTGTGGTGCCTGGAGGTAGGGCCACAGAACAGTGGTAGGGCATGCTTAGGTCTCTTCCTCCAGAGATAGTGAGAGGCATGAGAGATACTTCTCTGGTACTCGGAGGAGAGCAAGATCCCTCTAAACACCCCCACTTTCTCCACTTCTCTCTTCACCTCCACCCACCCCTGCAAGCAAGAGTGAGACCTGTAGCCAGCCTTTCTGTTCAGACTAGCAGGTTTTGCTGGATGGAATTTCCACAGTTACTGTCTCCTAGAAGAGGGGTGCCCCAAAAGGGAGATGAACAAGGGCACTCTTAGGACAAATGTGGCCACAGCATCTCGGGTTGGGCTAAGCATGGGGCAAATTGGGATTGCAGATCCACGGTATGAGGTAGGTGCACTACTCTCTAGACTAGAGTCTGATAAAATAAATATGCCAGGACAGAGAGCTGGCAAGTCCTGTGAGCACCCCCTCCCATTCAGCAGAGATGACTGCAATCCCCAAAAGTACTGGTGCCTCAGCACCCTGACCTGGGGAACAGAGCTATGGAAACCCTGGTGGGCCCAGGCCTGGGAAGCAGTATAGTCTAGATTTACCAGAACCTGGCAGAACTGTGAGGAAGAAAGGTTGTATAAATCGGAGGGTCACCCTGAGTGCTGGGTCCTGAAAGGACAGCTTTGCCCTCTGCAGAATAAGTTGAAGAAGTAAATCTGAGTCAAGACCTAGGGGACACCCTGTATTTGTCCCCAATGTGAGGGAAGTCTCCCCTCCTTTACCTCCCGCAGAGAGAATGGTAGTCTTAGAAGGAATAGCCACACGGTGTGAAATCACTGTTTATTGGCTGTGATTCCCTCAGAGAAAACATGTGAGGCCTCTGACATGCAGGAGGTGCAGGCACAGGACAGACAGACAGGTAACACATGGGCTATACTAAGCACGGCGGCCCGGTGTCCCATGCGCTAGGAACAGGATGCAGGGTTAACTCAAGAGAAGGCCACCTGCTCAGAGCTGGCTTTTCAATTCAAGAAAACCAGCCAGAGGTGCAGAGTGGCCCAGGTGAGCAAGGTATTGTGGGCCGAGCATGCTTCATCTCTTTGGGTAGAGGGCATTCTGATTAGTATTGCAGTCTAATTGTTATGGCTTCTCTAAAGAGCTATGTAAGGTCATGAAGGTCAATGCCAAGCCACACACCTGGCCCAAAACTCATGGACATGTAATGCAGTTTTAATGTGGACAGGAAGGATCGGGAAGACCAGGCTGGCCTTTCTGTCAAGATAAAACTTATCAAATACAGACCTCATTTACCTGAGATTCAACATATTATGATGTAAATTAAACAAATATGAAGAACAATGGCTGCTGGCTGGGCGAAGGGGAGTAGCTGGGTCATATTGCCCTTGGGCCACGCACAGAAGAGAACACCACAGCCCAAGCCCAGAAGCTTGTGTTTACTGGCCACTGTCAGCCCTTCAGAGGAGGAATAGTGGAGAGGGTGAGACACCTGCTCTTGTGGCCTCTGTCTGCTCTGCACACGGATCCCCAGAACCCTGGGCTTTGAGGAAGTGGGGCATTTTGAAGGTCTAGTGGTAAAGTCTCCCTAGGAGACTGCCTGACCTCAGTGAAGAGAACAGGAGGCCACCAGGGAGAGATGGGTCTCTGGAAAGTGTGCGTTACAGAGGATGCTAAGGGACTCAAAATGTGTCTGAGACACACCCACACCAACCCAAACTATTGCTTTGTTTCCTCTGGCTGTGGCATTCTTAAGAAGCCAAACCTTGCAGAGCAACAGAGAAAGAGACAGCTGGACAAAATATGCAAGGGCCGCCGGTGAAGACTAGGGTGGTAGTGGACAGACAGGAAGACAGAGCAAATGGTCCAGCAGGTCCAACAAGTCCAGAAACAGGGGCAATGGGCTCAGGGAAGGGCTGGGGCTCCCAGGCACCCACTGCTCACTCCCCAAGTCCCACCCCACTATGGCTGTGCTCCTGAGTTTAGGCCCTGACTGGTGGCCAGCCACGGAGGAATGGCACCCCACGGGTGGTCAGGGCTGGCCCTCGGGGCCTGACCTTGGGCAGGCTCAGTGGGAATGGTGAACTCAAGATTAGTAAGGAGGGGTCCAACCACCCAAAGGCAAGGATGCACAGCACAGGGGCCTGAGGGTCACACCCTTGCCTGGTGGGGTCAATGATGGCAGTGCGGGGAGGGGTGGCCAGAGGCTCCCGAGGCGCGAGGAGGACATGGGCAGGATAGATCTAGGACTATGGCTTATTTTTGCAGGGGGGGCTGCATCTGCTCCCAACATCCCTTGTGGGGGTGGGCTCCGAGGGGGGTCTGTACAATGGGCAGGGCTCCAGGCGCTGACCCAGTATCATTACTTCTTGAACATGTCCTGCAGTGGCCCAGGCAGGTACTTGATGACAGTGTCCAGGATACTCTCATCTTCCTCCTCCGGCTCATCCCCACAGCCTGGTGGAATAGCCTTCTTGGGCCGAGTCAGACTGCCTTCTGAGTTGGCTTCCATGGCTGCCTGGGCCTCAGCCTCACGCTCCTCCTTCTTCTTGATGCCATACTGTGAAGGAAAGGGTAGTCAAGGCAGGGCTTAGCATACCTCCCTCCCTAGCCCCCAGCCTGGGTGGCACTGATGCAATACCCAGAGAGGCCAGGGCCTTTCTGTACTGGAGAAACCAACCAGGGACCCTGAAAGGTGGTACTCATGGCCAAGGAAGATTTCAGCCGAGTCCCATCCTATTCACCAGGACTCCTGTTCAGGTTTTGGAAGACCACCCAGAAAATGGGACAATTAAGAGGTGCCTGAAGGACACACGGGATGTAAAAGAGAAAAAGAGTCTGGGAGTGGCTGGAGAGATGGTTCAGCAGTTATGAGCACTTGCTGCTATTTCAGACTCGGGCCTAAGTTTGATTCCTAATACCGGTGCCAGGCAGTTCATAACTATCCAGAAACTAGGTCAGGCCAGAGCAACTTCCTTCCAGCCAGGGGAAGAGCAGCAGGCATAGACCAGGTGAGGTCTATGGGCAATCTGAGAGTCTGCCTAAGGCTACACTGGGAACAAGTGTGTGATCAAATGGGTGTAACTACTGCTTTGGTTACTTTTCCTGAAGGCTAATTTGTCCATTGGTGTTCAAGGTCATTTTGAGGCTACAGACAGTTTGAGCTGTATCATAGGGAAAGTTATGGTTATTCTGCTGAAGAATGCCATCCAGGCTACATCCCAGAGTCAGACTCCACTGGTGTGGCCTGTTCTGATCTTCTGGACTCCAGTGATGCCAGTCTAATCCAGGCCAGGTATTCATTATTGTCAGGTGTGCAGAAGCATCATTCCAAGGACAGGACCACAGGAAGTATCAGTCAGGTGTGTTAGAGTCATACCCTGGGTAGCTTCCAGAGCCAGGTGAAGACTGGGGACTGGGTAAGGGGTCTGATATTTAGAGATAACAGAAGACCTAAGAACATTTGTTAAGAAAAAGCCTATAGTGGCTATCAGTGCTAAGAGCCAACAGCTCTAGCTAGTATGTACATGCACACCTTTCATCATCACACAGGCTGAGAGAGCCTAAGTGAACACAGCAGTGTGGGGGCTAAAACATGCCAACTTTACACCTGGGCCTTGTGTCTTTACCAGAAGGAAGGTTCATATGCAAACCTGAAGGTGTGTGTGCAAATCTGTGTGCACAAACAGATGGTGGAAATATAAATTGGATGGTGGGTTTGCAAATCGAGTGCCTGCTTAGATGACTTCCTAATGGAGATGAACACTTCTCCAGGAAACACCCCACTCTTGAGACAATCCTGAGCCATTGGTCAAACAATTATAATTAATATTAAGCCTCTGAGTGTTTATTCAGGAACTGGAGGGCAGGAGAGAAACCTCCATTTACAAATTTCTTCACAATTTCCAGGAAAATGTGTGAAAACAGAGAGGTGGAGAAGGTACCTGTAGGGAGACACTGTAGCCCCGCCTCCTAGTAGCCCCGACAGGTGTACCGGGACACGCCCATGAGGGCGTGGTGAGGGGCGGTCTAAAGGATTCTTAAGGGACTGCGGACACGTGGATAGCCCCTCTCTCTGGCCTGGCTGCCTTGCTGCCTCTGGCACGCTTTGGCTTGCGCTTGGCTGGTGTTTATCTGAATAAAGAAACCTTAGCCTTACGGACTGCGGATCAATCTCTTCAGTCATCCTGTAGAGTATTCCTTGAATCTTTTTTTTTTTTTTCTTTTTTTTTTTTGAGACAGGGTTTCTCTGTGTAGCTTTGGAGGCTGTCCTGGCACTCACTCTGTAGACAAGGCTGGCCTCAAACTCATGGAGATCCACCTATCTCTGCTTCTTGAGTGCTGGGATTAAAGGCACTCACCAACACTGCCTGGCTGAATCCCATGTTTTGTTTTGTTTTTAAAAAAATACTGGGAGGTCAAAGCCTTTGTAGGTGGGGTGGTATCTGGCAGGAACTTCCTCGGTGGACTGAGCCAGTCACAGGACTCCCCTGTATCCAAAACCCAGCCCATCCCTGGACTTGGAACCACTGAACACCTAGACATCTAGCATAGTGCCCTACCCCAAACTTGCTTTGTCCTTCCTACTCCCTCTAAGCTCTGCCTTGGGAGGGACCTCTGTGACTCTTGGCTCTCTCTTGCTTCTCTGCTCTTCCCTCTAAACTGTTTCCCTCTCACAGTTTTTGTGTCTGTCTAACTCTCTGTCTCTTGCTTTCTCATGTGCATCCTCATCCTTCCGTATTACAGTTAATTCAGGGGTCTGTCACCACGTTGCTCACATGGTCGGTAGCACATCTTGCTAACCATGATAAGTAACTCACTGGCTGTAGAAGGTAGAGTCGAAGCAAAATGAGCAGGCACTTTCTACAGGACCCAGGAAACTGTCCAGTGACAGTGCTCCAAGGCAGGTGTCAGGTGCATAGCCCAGACCCCATAAACAGCACTCTGCACCAAGTGTGGGGTGAGGGCAGGACATGGGTGGAAAGGGGAGGCCAGCCACCCATTTGGCCCTTTGTGAGGTCAAGGACCCAGTGTGCCCTGAGACCTAATAGCTATCCCCTTCTATCTACCTCAGGAGATATGGCTTTCCTTTCCCACGAGTCTCAAAGGTCTGCCTCAACCAGTGACACATCAGTAGAGAACCTGATGTGGATCCACAGGCAGGAAAGGGCCTAGAACCTGAGCTGCCCACTCTCCAGTCTAGCATCTCCTCAAGTCCAGGACTGGAGGATTATCTCGCCCACCCAAGCCTGCTGACCCACTCCACAAAGCCAGGAAGGCTCTAGCTGATATGCTTCTTCTCACAGTCTGGAGCCTCTCTTTTGTGTGGACAATAACTGTCCCCACTATGCACCTGACCTGTGAGCGGGGGTCACACATGCCCACCGTGGCTCTGCACTCCCCAGAGGCACAGGACTGGAGCCAGGGCTCCACTATTGTGTCCTCCCACTGGCTTAGCATCAGTTGCACACTGCTAAGCAGGCAACCACTTTTTCAGGGTTCTGTCCAGACTTCATTACCTGACTAGCTAGAGTAAGAACTGAGGGAGGAGTGGGCAGATGTCATCCTCTTGAAAGATGTAGCTGTACAGAGGCCTCAATTCAGGATTCCACGTGGGACCTGTTTTCCTACCATGAATAGGCACAATGCTCTCTGGCTGCCTCACCCACAGGTGACAGCCACGAGGTGACCAAGAACTGCCACTCAGTCACCATGTATAAGTCTTGGAAGCAAAGGTGAAGGGAAACCTCCGGTCCTGATTTTCCTGACCCTCCAAGACTTCCAGCTCAACCAATCCCCATTCCTCTCTCAGAACCTTCTTTCTGGGTAGGGGCCCTAAACTCCAGGAGAGCAATCAGTGCTGACATGAGGGGTAGAGAAAGCCAGCTGTCAGAATGACCCCCATCCAGATGTGAACATTTGTAGTCCACAACAGTCTAGTTCTCAAGGTTTTGGTCTTGATCCCTGAACAAGGAGTAAAAGGGAAGCTGTTAGCCATTGCCAAGGAAGGAGGCTGCTGCAGTCACTGCCTGAGGCAGTCCTCCCTGTGGCTCTCCTCCCTGCACCTGTCAGTTACCCACCTTGTCTCGTATGCCCTGCCGCATGACCTCGCGCTCTGCCTCCATCTTGGCATACTTTGCTTTGCGCTCCTCCTCTGCCTGCCGCAGTGCCTCCTGCCGTTCCTCCTCCTTCTTGGCAGCATCAGGGTCCTTCTCCTCATCACCCCCGAGCATCTTGCCCATGTCCTTGGTGGCCCCTGGGAACAACAGCAGAGGTAAGGCAGTAAGTAGCCTTCAGAGTTCCTTTCTGGAGCCATGGGTCCAGTGGTGCCCCTCCCTTGAGGGAAGCAGAGGGCGTGTACTTCCATCTACACGTGTGAGTGGTTGGGTTCTAGTTGCATGTTCATATACTTATCTGTGTATATTTTTATCTGAGTAGGACCATGTTATTGTATATGTGTGCTTGGGTGCACTGGTGTGTCTGCTCATCCATGTGCTCCTGAGAGGGAGGTGTATGTCCTCCCTGAGACTTGGGTCCGGCAGAGGATTGGGCTCTGGAAGGTGGTAGAAGGAAAATCCAGATATGCAGAACATGGATGATGAGCAGCAGGGGACAGAAGTCTGGTGGGAAATATTGTTCAGTAAAGTAAGCAACAGGCTGCAGGCACTGCCTGTCCTCGGCACCAACACCCTAATTGCCCCTATGCTAGGCACCACTTTTCTCATGAGTTCCTGAGTCACAAGCCCTACAAAACCACCCCAAATGCCCTTACATTTAGCCTGTAGGACAGAGGCTATAATTACACACGAAAGCTTGGCCCAATGAGCAATCCTCAGCCTGTTGCACCCAGACCCCGTGTCACCCAGGATGGGGACCTGGCAAGCCCCACAGGATCTCAGTGTGGGTGCTGGTTCACTGGTTTTTGTTTCTCTGTAGTACCAGCCAACCCTATGCACCACGACAAGCAAGAGCAAAGCCATCTGTCCTCTCTCCTTTGCCTGAGACATTTTGGCTGCCTGAAACTCTACCACAGGTGAGAGGGTGTGAAGAGACAGAAGACATATTGTTGCCATTGTCAGGATGGAGACAGAGAACCAACTTGAAATAGGCATTTGCTGACAGAACAGATCCTGAATCTTAGTGAACATTGTGAGCTTCTTGGTCAGTCTTCAGCTGCATCTAGAAACTTGCAAAGGAGATTCTGGGTCAATAACTTAAGCAAAGTTGGGTCAGGAAGTAATAATCTTCCAACAGTTTTCCAGGTAACTCACTGGAAACTCTCTGCCTCTAGCACAGCTGTCTCTGGCAGGTGTTGGGGCAGGCAAGGACAAACCTTGCAATCCTGGCAGCTTTCATGTAAATTTTATTCCCTACTAGAACAAGCTAATTTGCACGCAAGTGAGAGAGACCCATAATTATTTCTCCCTCTGAGAGGTGCTGGCATTCTAAAACAGAGAGAACTGAATCTGGCATCTTTGTCTAGTCTTAGAGCAGTGGTTCTCACCTGTGGGTCACAACCCCTTTGCGGGGGGGGGGGGTGGGGGGGTTGGTCAAATGACCAACAGGGGTTGCTAAGACCATCAGAAAACACAGATATTTATATTACAACTCATAAGAGTATCAAAATTACAGTTATGAAGTAGCAATGAAAATGATTTTATGGTTGGGGGTCAGCACAACATGAGGAACTGTTATATACTGAAGGGTCACAGCACTAAGAAGGTTGAGAACCACTGAACCCAGAGGGAGATGGACAGGGGCTGGAGTGTGACATTGGGAGCAGTGTGGCTTGTGGCTACCTATTTAGGCCTGTCCGGAATCCCACCCATCACGTAGGCTGCAATCTCCATTTTACTGAATGTCAACTATGTGCTACTATGTAGCTGTGTGCCTATTGAGCCTTCCCTGGACTTTCCTATGTGCCAGGGATTCCTGCTTGGGCTCTGGACTCTAAAGGAAGGTCTCCTTGTGTTATGGGACTTCAGACTATGGAGGCAGCTCTGGAAGGCTGTGTGCATGCACACACAGTGACATTCACACGCTCATATTGACAAGCGAATGTGCTCACACACATGCAAAGATGAAAAAAGGTTTTAGCAGATCTTTTACCAAGGAACTTACACATATGGCAAATAAGTGTGTTGAAAGGTACAACTGGCTGATAGAAGCAATGCTTAGTCACAGGAATTCCAGCTTAAGTCACCAACAAGTAGAGATTGGCTATGTAAGTTCTACCCAGAACACTGTGCAAACAGCAGCAATACTGGTGGGAATGCAGATGACAGAGGGGTTGGAGGACGGTGGATCAATGTCAGCTCTGCCCCCCCCCCACTTGGAATTGAATTTATGACCTCACATGTACTAGACAAGCACTCTACCATGGAACTATTAGTTTCTTACAGTGTTAAATACACCTATAATGTGATTCAAAAAGCATAGTGCCAAGCATTTACCCAACAGAGTGAAAAAACAAAATAACTTATCTGTTCATCAGCAGGCAAATGGACAATTAACCCATGAAACACACAGGTGAGGAAGAGAGTACTATCCGGCAATGAAAAGAAGTAGACTGTTGAGTGACACACCCAATAACATGGAAGACACCCAGACTCTTTGATAATGGTGAAAAAAGCCAGAAATGAATGAAATGATTTTTATTTAAGTAAACGTAAGTGTGGATTGATCTATGGTGAGAAGGTAACTTTGGGATTATCTGGGGGTGGCAACAGCCTTGGACCTATGGAAGTTTGTTGACCAATTCCTGTAGGAGTAATATAAGTACCTCCTGAACACCAGACATGCCACAATTCAAACGACTATACAATCTAAAAGACTAAAACCAGAGGTGATAGAAACCATGTTTCCTGGTCCTGACCTAATCAAGCTACAAGCTCTAAACGAAAGATCAAACTTATAGCCACAGAGGTTCAAATATTAGAAACAAACCTGTAGTTTGCCTTTCAACTAAAGTGAACAGTAAAACTGAAGGTGTAAACAGCTTGAAAACAGTAAAAAAAAAATCAGACACTGTATAGTTGTTCTCTGGCTTCTTGTGAGTCACAGGCCCCTGATTGCACCTGGTAGTGTTTACATGGGGTATTAGCACACCCCCAGAAGCCGAAGAGAAAATCTGGACAGTTTCGGTGTAGACAAAGGGATCTTTATCCCAAAATCTTCACTCCATGATTTGATTAGCCTAATCTAACAGACTATTTGTCTAAAAATAAGATCTGTGACTAAAATTGTTCTGGAAGAATAATTACAGCCTTTAATCATAAAGCATGAAAACAAAGTGGAGGGGTTCATAATCTTCCTAAGAAAAAAACATTAGTCCTAACCGGGCGGTGGCAGCCACACCTTTAATCCAAGCACTCGGGAGACAGAGTTCCAGACCAGCTTGATCTACATATTGAGTTCCCAGACAACCAGGGCTTCACAGAGAAACTCTGACTTGAAAAGAAAAAAAAAAAAAAAAAAAAAAAAAAAAAAAAAAAAAAAAGAAAAGAAAAGAAAAAGAAAATCCAATGCAATCTCAAGTTCTAAGTCTGCAGGTGTGCCTCACCATTTCAATCTGCCATAAGAACTTGAGAGGTGGAGGCGGGAGGTTCATGAGTTCAAGGCCAATCTTAACTAAATAATTAGTTTGAGACCAACCTGAGCTACCTGAGACCCTGGAGCAAAGCAAAGCAAAACAAAACAAAAAGGACTGAAAATACAGAGTCCTAGAAAGGCCAATAGAGTGACAGATAATTCCAAGGTGGTCATGCTGTAGACGTTTTAAATGTCATCATGTCCTCTGCTGGGGAAGGTGCACAGTTAGTGCTTGGAGAAAGAGGGTGAGTGGCAGAGGCTTGAGAAAGTAGCCAGATGTTATTATGCACACCCTTCTACCTAGCCCTCACACTCTAGCCATCTGTTTAAAATGGCCTTTGTTGGGGCATGGGTCCCCAGATGTCTACTATCTCAACACAAGTCTAGAGACAAGGGATGTCTTGGGTGTGTGGCCATATAACCAGGGAGCTTCTGGGCTACAGTGATATGGAACATCTAGAAGAGGAACAAAAGTACCCTAGAGGGAGCTGACAGGCTGCCCAGTGCTCTATAATGGGCCTGCTGTGTGCAGAAAAGTACGTCACAGACTCCATTTTTGGAAAGCAAGGAGAAAACCTGATGGGCAGCTGGGCATAGTAGTGTACTTTAATGCCAGGACTCAGGAGACAGAGGCAGGTGGATCTCTGTGAGTTGAGGCCAGCCTGGTCTACAGAGTGAGTTCCAGGACATCCGAGAAACCCTGTCTTGAAAAACCACACACACACACACACACACACACACACACACACACACACACACACACACCGGACAGGATGAGTTCCAGGACATCCAAGGCTATACCGAGAAACCATGTCTTGAAAACACACACACACACACACACACACCCCCACA